AAGACAATAACTGTTAGCGCTGCAACCAGAGTTGCTTAGTGCTGAGCAACTCTTGACAATGATTTACAAGCATTGAAAAGCGATTTGCAAAAAAAGTGTGGCATTCCTAGCCCAGGTACGACAAAAATAAATATACTAGAAGTAACTGTATAATTTTTATATTTATTATCATTATGTAGGATAACTACTTTTTAGCCTAGAATCTATAGCTCAATATAAGGCTATTTTAAAGGGTCTCCTTATCTTTAAAGAGCTAGCAGTGATTTCAAGGATATCAAACTATTATAATTTTAATTGTGTAATTAAATGAAATCAGTATCTCAGCATAGTGTTGCATGCAATAGCTGATAAAAATTAATCATAAAATTTCACTATGTTTATTATTAGACTTACACCAAATAATATAGAAAAATCATTAAAATAGTGTCACTGAACTCCTATTAAGAATAACAAATAGAATTCAAGTGATGGTTTGGTATTGTGATGCTTTATGCAGCCTGTAGTAGCAATTTTGCATTGATAAAGTTACATTTTCGCTAACATCCATGAATGATTGTCCTTTACATGGATATTTATGGTCTCGTCGGGTCCGCATCAGTCCGTCCGTCCGTCCTTTTTCGGGCGGGGCGGGTCCGTCCGTCCGTCCGCTTTTGAGACCCTACCCAATGGATTTCACTTGCGTTCGAACAGTGCGTATTGCGTGTGGATTACGTGCGCCTAGTAAACAATGCACGGAAAGTCAACTCACCCCTCACTGAATATTCAAACGGAAATGCAATTGACTGTAGACAGATTAAGCTAGGTTTACACTCGACACAAAATGCAATGCAAATGAACGCAAAATTGAAATTTGACCAATTTTGCGTCAACTTCAAAGCGTTTTTGCGTCAAAAGGTCAAATCGCCCATGCACTTTTCACTGTTTTGTCAAATGTAAACCTAGCTTTAGTGTGGGTCTCACTCATGCTTGCCCCAATTATGTACATACATGTATATAAGTATAATCCTTTGGTTTATATTAGGAGTCACTGGAAGAGTGAGCTGGGACTGGAACAGTGTAACCCTTTACTCTCCATCTCCAGTTCAGTGTAATGAAGTGATTAGTAATATTAATAATAATCATAAGGAGATTAGCTTCCACTACTCATCTACTAATAGTACAGTATCTCTACTATCATCAACTAAACTGCATACACTAAACCTAAGGAGACTTGAGATATTGGACACTCCATTAACTAATGATTGTATCCAGTACTTGTGTATACTACTAACTAATAATAAAACAATACAAGAACTAGTCATCAGTCTCCACTCCATTAGTGATAGAGGAGTTACTAATATCCAGGGGCGGATCCAGGATTTAATTTTTGGGGGGGCATTTATGAGATGGGTGGGGTAATTAGGGGGTGTGGTCAAGGAATAATGTGCAGAACATGGCAGACCTTTGAGGAAAGTCAAAATTATTAAGACTAAGCCTGCTAAAATGAGCTCCTTTGTGGTTTAAAGATAGTTTACATAGTCCAGTACTGCAGCTACTTCACAGTTTATATAGGTAAAACTAAGTTTACATTACTCCAGAAAAATTTTTGGGGGGGCCTTGCCCCCCCTTAGATCCGCCACTGCTAATATCTGTCAAGCACTTGAACACAACTCTACACTTACCTTATTAGTTCTTTATGGTAATCCTCTCATCACTTCTACTAGTGGACAGGCTCTTTCTCACCTCCTCCTCAATAACTCATCACTAGTTGAACTGGATCTAAGGGAGACTTCATTGTCTACTGAGTCAATACTACTCATCCTCCAGTCACTAATGGATAATAAGAATATAAGGAGACTCTTGCTAGACGAGCAACACAAAGAGACTTGTATTAATACTTATCCTAACTATCACCTCATACAAGACAGAGTATGGTGGCTCTAATCACTCTTCATGTGAACTTGTGTATCTTCACCAAAAACAAGTGACCAATCAGAATACACTATACATAAAAGGCTGATCTGTTATTTTTATTAATTCCATTATTATTTTTTGATATACATTATTTCATAATCTCATTCTAATCAATTAGCATCTGGTTCACTTCTGCTAGTCCTGCCCACAAAAAGTGAACACAAATCATTTCAATATTACTTTAATCGTACAACATATAATTAGAAATGATGTACATATACAATTAATAATAATAATACC